TTTTTTAATCTCGGGTGTGGCCATGGCATCTCGACCGTGGCCCAGCCACGTGACGAGATGCCTCGGCCATGCACGAGATTTAGAGAGAGAGAGAAAAAAAAAAAAAAAACGGCCACGTGCCTGCGATTTTTCTGCAAAGCGGAGTTTCAACTGCATTGTTAACTTTCTTTGGAGCGGACTGGACTGCGAAACGGCAGTTTGAAATGCATTTAGAAACTCAAACCATAACCGCACCCTAGTTCTCTCTCAAAAGAAAAATAAAAAAAAGTTAAAAAAAACTCAAAAAGTGCACTCATGGTGCAGGTGCACTTTACTCGGAGGCAGCACCGAAATGGTTAAGAAATGGTAAAAAAAATTAACAAATACTAAAAATTAGTAAAAAAAAACAAAAATGTTAAAAAAACAGAAGGTTGAGAAATGGACTGAACTGCCGTTGATTGGGAGGCAGTTATGATAAGCTGGCTGCGCCAGTTAGAAACGGCAGAAAGGTTCAAAAAGAAGGTTGGGAAAAAAAAAAAAAAAAAAAAAAAAACGCTTTCTGCTACGTGTCCTTCGGGACGTCCGTTAAAATTGGAACGATACAGAGATTTTTATTTTTTTTATTTTTTTTATTTTTTTGGGAATACAGAGAATATTAGCATGGCCCATGTCCAAGGGAAAAAAGTTCAAAAAAAAGGTCCCGGGGTTGAGCTATATCAGGGCAGCAGGCCGGTTTCGGCCATTTCTGCTCCTGATTTATTTGCTCAGCACATGCTGCACCTAAGCTCAGAAAATGTCCAAGTACATTTGTTACCTTTTTCCGGGTTGGTTGGTTGTTTAGGAATTCCCTGACTCAGTTGGTTTGCTAATGACAAACCATTGTTTTGTCTTGTGAAAAAAAAAAAAAAAAAAAAGCAAAAGGCTCACTGGCATCACTGCTATGTCTGTCAGTTTCTGAGGTTGATGGTGGTGCATGTCATTTTTTATGCACGTGGTGTTGTGGGAGCTGAGCAGGAAAGGGCAACCCACATATGCCTGGATTGTGGATACATCTACACTGTAACGAAGCCTTTTGAGGAGCAGGTGAGCTTCTGCCTCTTTCCATTCTCCCACTGGCATCCATTGATAGCATAATTTGTTGTATTTGGCAGGTTCACAGTATTGGCATGAAGAGGCACACACACCTGAATACAAAAAGTGTGTGTTGCACAGAGAGAGAGAGAGAGAGAGAGAGGGAGAGAGAGAGAGAGAGAGAGAGAGAGAGAGAGAGAGAGAGAGAGAGAGAGA